TGTCTGATGTTCTCAGTACTAACTTCTTAGCTCAGTCTGATGTCCTCAGTACTAACTCCTTAGCTCTGTCTGATGTCCTCAGTACTAACTCCTTAGCTCTGTCTGATGTCCTCAGTACTAATTCCTTAGCTCTGTCTGATGTCCTCAGTACTGACTCTTTAGCTCTGTCTGATGTCCTCAGTACTAACTCCTTAGCTCTGTCTGATGTCCTCAGTACTAACTCCTTAGCTCAGGTTTCTACTTGTGCTTCTTGAAGACGATGGTTATAACTTGCAAACTTGTACTTTCAATATACTAGTCTTGTATTATCTGCATTTCATTTTATATTTCCAAATACGTAATATTTTTGTTTTTTGTAGACCAAAATTACAGCAATTTTTACTAAGAATGAAGACACCAGAAGGAGGGTTTATGATGCATGATGGAGGAGAGATAGACATCAGGTATTCAAATCTTTATCAAATAATATTTTTTTCAGTTTTAGTTAAAGATGTATGTGTACCTCATTTAGCAAAAGATCGATTCTTTTATAAGATTAAAGAAGAGATTGCTGTCACTCCACCTAAATCATTGTTAATTCATGCTTTTTGCCAAATTTGCTAATATTGCATGTAAATTATTATAGTAGTCTTTATCACATCAAATCTTTTGGTGCAATATTTTGCACATTTTTATGAATTTTGTTTTAATATCATGATATGGACATAATTTTTCATATCCTACCTACAAGTCTTGATCAAACTTACTAGGTTTATTGTTTGCGAATGGTCACAAAAGTCCACTTTGCCACTTTTACCTTAGTAGTCGGCTACAACATATTTACTATTAAATTTAGCTGTATCGTATATTGACTTCAACAGTGGTAATATTACTCTTAATGTGTGTTTTTGAGCAGTAATTATGATGCTCAACCAATTTACTCAAATATGAAAAGGGTCACAGTTTTTGTTGTTAATTGAACATTTACCAGTTTACTAATTACACTATTTTAATAATAATAAGTGATAAATTACATTTATTTTGTTTGTTTGTTTGTTTGTTACTTCACTCAGGGGTGCTTACTGTGCAGCAGTATCAGCTTCATTGACAAATGTTGCTACAAAAGAGTTGTTTGAAGGATCATCTGAATGGATATCTAGGTAATGTAACCACGCCATGTAATCAACTATTGTCTCTGTAGTGGACAACTCAACTATTTGTCATTTGTGTAAATGCCATTCGAGGTGTAATTTGCTTCAGTTGAGGTTTAATTGTTCAATATTATGTAGACCGGTAGTGACACAGTTAGCATGGTAAACTTATAAACTTAAACTGGGTTATTATAGTGTCAACTACTGTAGGTATTAAACAATGAATGCAATATATATATTGTATGTCTGTCCACCTAGGGATTCCATTTATGAGGTATTGTTTGTATACAATGACTCGCCATTCCAGAATATTAAGTCTATCATGTATATTAAACACAAAAGTAATGAATATGTATTTGCCCTTTAGAAAGCACATCTGCAGTTTAGTGACTTAAGACGCAAAATGTTTGTTTTTGTATAACTGTAAGAACATATTAGTGATACATTTTTATTTTTAGTTGTCAAACCTATGAAGGTGGTTTTTCTGGTATGCCTGGTATGGAAGCTCATGGTGGCTACTCATTCTGTGGCTATGCTGCGTTAGTCATTTTAGGTCGTGAAAGACTGTGTGATACCAAAAGTCTTCTGGTGAGCAATCCTAGTTCTTTATAAACCATACAGTTAGACTAGTTTTATTGAAGTTCAGTGTATGGATTGTTTGTAGTCAAATTATAGAATAGATTTTAAGATCTACATCATATCATTCAGGACTTTATCAACTTGCTTCTCTTTACTATAATTTATAACATCCAATATATGTCTGGGATGAATGTAAAAGTGTATAAGAGTACTGTAAGTGAAATAGCACTCTTAATTTAATTCACTTTTACTTGTTTTGATTTGGACAGAGATGGACAGTGAGTCGACAGATGAGATTCGAAGGTGGATTTCAAGGTAGAACCAATAAACTGGTAGATGGATGTTACTCTCTATGGCAAGCTGGGGTTCTACCCTTATTACACATGGTACTCAGTAAACAAGGAGATAAAACTCTGAGTGGTGACAACTGGATGTTTGATCAAGGTGAGTTGTGTACTTGGCAGGACTGGAGGTGGTGGTGTGGTTGATTACCAAATACACATTGTGTAGTATGCAGTGTTGGAGGTGTGAATGATTCAAGTGAATGTTCATTGTCATATATTTACACTACTTAACATTATTTGATTTACTTTGTAGGTGCTTTACAGGAATATGTTCTCATTTGTTGTCAGCATTTTAGTGGTGGTCTAATTGATAAACCCGGAAAGTAAGTTATGTACTACTGATTTGAATGTAGCCTAAGTGTTATCTCATTTTATTTGTAATGAAATTGATAATGGGTTTATGTATTTGATTGTTGCATGAGTCTACCTACCTGTACTAAGCATGTTAGGTGTCAATCTATAACTTCCCATAGATGACTATGTACATGTCTTGTACATTCAACTAAATAGAGTAAATTACATGTAGATAACAAATGCTCAAAAATTATAAAAGTAAATGGGGTTATCACAAATATTGAAAATCCTGAAAGTTAATTCAACCACACTGGTAGTGCCATTATTAGAGAAGTTGAGCCAGTTGGGTACACACTTTGTCTTATTGCAACACTGCTTGGTTTTCTTTAGAATTCTGTTGATACAAATTTTAATTATGGTGTCACATACATGTCCCTTCAAGCGTGATGTTGAATCTGTTTTGTCAAATTTTTGACAGGTCACGTGATCATTACCATACATGTTACTGTCTAAGTGGTTTGTCTGTGGCTCAACATTTTACTAGTGGGTCTTTATGTCACGAATCTGTCCTAGGTCATGCTGATAATGAACTTGTAAGTATAATTATTTACAATTTATCTGGAGTGTGTTTGCGTCGCTTCCTCTGGGTGCCCCGAGTGGCGTAGCAGCAGTGACCTGTGGCAACGTAAGGGTTCCCCGAGAAAGTAGATTACATGAACATAACCGGGGGAAGTAGTATCAATGATCGTATTGGTCTGTTGCTATGTGAGTGAAACTCGAGTAAAACGTATAAAATTTATTTTAAAATCACGCCCAGTTGAATTTATGTTTGAGAAAATTACCTAAATACCTTTTTACCTATCGATTTCGTCATTCGCTATCTTTTTCCCAAACTTCCCCGACTCTGCAAGCAGGGGCGGTAACAACTGCCCCCAGTCTCCCCAGTTGTGACATCACCTAGCAGTCGAACGAAAACTGGGCAGGCGTGATGCACCCTGGGTAACCCCGAGGTGACGACGTGAATGCACTCCTATGTACAACTTAGCTTTTTAGATGGTTTACAAGATTATACGGCTTTGTTTTGTCATGGTCAATAAATCAGTCAGGTTTATGTGTTGAAAACAGTAATTTTCATGAACATGGTTGGTATTTTACTGTAAAATACTTTATTTTCTCTGAAGGAATGATTCAGTGAATATTCCTTTTTTCCTATGTTTTACATTCAACTCGTCAAAAATCAGTGAAAATAAATTCCACACAAAACACCCAAAAACTTTTCAGCGAAAATTACTTCCAGCTAAAATAAAGCATTTTACAGTAAGTCATAATAGTGAATTGACATGTGCATATTATATTTATTAATTTCAGAGACGGGTTCACCCATTGTATAACATAGGACTGAAGGCTGCATTGGATGCTAATAAATATTTCACTGCTTTACAAGTACCAGGCAGCAAAGACTAGACATTGTCTATGATATGTAAATTGTATGAACCATGTATTGTTACGATAGATTCTCCCAACACAATGTAACAGATCACAATTGTATAATTGGTATCACATGACTTCATATTTATAGATGTATTTCATTTTATTTAGTTGTGGATATGGTGCATTTCTTGCTAGGTTGTCAGCACAGTCAACTTGTCTCTTATTTAGTTTTATGCTGCATTCAAGATGGTGACCCTATATATATAAATAAATATTGTATTTATTTTATTATCACGTGTGTGCCAGCTGACTGTGGTTGTCAGTTGTCGTATAGGCTGCCTGTTGTTCAGATGGGACATATTGTTTCATTTCACGTAACCTTGGAACTGAAAAAACTTGATTGAAGTACAGTGATACAGTGGTTGTTGGTGTAAACATGTTGTCTCCTGATGAATGAATGCAATAGTTTATATATTGTGTAGAAAATACTCATACATTCATACAATTTATATCTTTATTTTGAAGACAATAATTATATCAGGGTTTGGTCAGGGATGTAGAATTTCATCGTATAATGCTAGTAAATGTATATCATGTATAACAAGTATAGGTAATCACATGGTTTAGTGTGTTCATCATTGTTAAAGCTACCGGTTCAGTAAGGTACACACGGCCCCATGACTCTGCCTTATGCTGCAATGACCATGTCATGTTGAAAGTATCATTCTAACGTGTGTTTCTGCCAAAAACCTTCATGCAAATTCGTTTACAAGATATAAGCTATAGCAGTTTATGGATTTACAATAATAGGCATACATGTATGGCCTGAGCAGGGGGTCACATGACAAAAGAGTGGTATAAATTGTGCTTATTGGTCATCTTTCAGTATGGTGTATGTTAATTTATAGAGTGACAGTTGTTACCCTGGGTCATTTATGATTGACTTAAATCAGTGAAATAAAATGTTAATTTAATACACAAAGGTTGAGCATGCTGACCTACCCTCTATTCATCATGCTTTCAGTCTAATTAATAATTGTAACACCTCAAAACAAGCTCATACTGTAAATCGTTTCATTTTCATTGCTTATATTTTTTGTAATTGCATTCATTGCAACATTTTCATTGTTGCTGCATTTATTTGACACTATATTTCACTGATAACAAAATTTTATGATTTTTCAATGACTTGCTTAATTCTCAAAATTTTGTGTCGTGAAATCAAACCACAAAGTTTTGAGATACTTTTAATTTGCATAATTAATTCTGCTGCTGTAGCAATATTTTGATAATAAAATTGATGTTATCAGTAATGTTTGAGTTGTACTTTCAGTGATATTCATATGTGCCAAATATTTGAATATGAGGTGACGAGGATCAAGTACATTTGTAATTTTATCACCCATGGCAATGATTTGAGGACAAAAATACATCTGGCTTTGGTGAATGAACGCATCAGTACCGGTACTAAATCACATACCGGTAATTGATCCTACATAAATAAGAACACCCCTAATATGTCCAGACATAAGTAGTTCAGAAGAAGACAGATATTCTTGTGATATCACCTACCTCAACCAGGAGGTAGCACAAGCAAACTAGCAGTAGAGATGCTCCCCTTGGTGGCTCAAAACAACATCTCAGGCACATCAAGGGAACATGCAAAACTGTAGCCTGTCTCGGATTCTGACCTATGACACAAGTAGACAGATCTCACCTGAACACATAGACGTGCACTCTGTAACAGCTAGTATATACATGGGACGCAATGATCAGTTAGGAACAACCTTGATGTGGATGCAGTCCCTATCAATTTGGGTAGGGAAATCACTAAGGACGCTTTTATTATAACGCTTATCAAGGAGCCAACAGCTGTAGTTATAGTCGCTATCTTGGTCATTGTTAGTGCTGGCCTATTTTTCTGTATGAGCCCTTTTGTGCAGCATATTCTAGTGGCATTTCTATCAGGCACAGCAAGTTGCAAGCTCTATCCTTTTCTGAGACCCTAGATTTTTTCAGGCTGATTCTGCCACCATTTGGATTCGTTACCTCTTTGGAGTTAAGAACCAGAGGCCAGATAAGCCGGTGTTCCCATGTACTACAGTTAGTACCTGCTCCCAGTACAACGGGGTGATGGCATTATTACCATCAATTATTGTTGCAGTGTTCATATTTCTGTAGGATTTTTATCTAACTTCATGCATGTTGAGGTTAAGTAAGTCTGGTCCAAAATTAGGCATTTGGAGGAGGACAGCGTTCCCTATCTCAATTTTGTTTTTGCATAAACTATCGTAAGAAATTAGGGCTGTCCGAAAAATGAAATACCTTTTGAAATAAGGATGTTGATTCTAGATGAGAACCATAATGCTTCCTACCGCGCATTGGGCGAAACAGTAATTTCTTTCTACATGGTTTGAATCATCGTTATTCCATGTGTGCTTGCTGTATATTACCCAATTTCTTGTATTTGTCTAGAAGAAGGATGTAATGTGCGAGAAGGAATTGCTATGTATTTGACGCCTGTATTGGACTGCCAGAGCAACGTCAACATGGATAATAATCCTAAAAGCACAAATGGAAGCCTACTAGGACTAAGAAACGGGATACTAGCACTTCAGATCGAGGGGAGGGTGCTCAAATCTACTCAAGCGATTCTCAAAGTATATTACCCAATTTCTTGTATTTGTCTAGAAGAAGGATGTAATGTGCGAGAAGGAATTGCTATGTATTTGACGCCTGTATTGGACTGCCAGAGCAACGTCAACATGGATAATAATCCTAAAAGCACAAATGGAAGCCTACTAGGACTAAGAAACGGGATACTAGCACTTCAGATCGAGGGGAGGGTGCTCAAATCTACTCAAGCGATTCTCAAAGTGTTCACATCATGGACACTAGCAAGCAGTTATCACAAGCAAAAATACGTTAGGCTTCTACTGACAGAGCATATGTGCATGCACCAAGGCAGTCAAATCACCAAGAGAGTATTGGTGAATGAGAAGTGCATACAGAGTATTGGACTAGAACTTGTGGCAGCAGCTGTGGACTGCAGCCAGACTGGCATATCAAAAAGAGATGCACACAGATAGTAGTGTGAACATCAATAACTAGTGTCTTGTGTTAGCATGCAGATTTTGGACAACTCACATGAAGACTGGTTTCAGCCATTGTATTCATTACAGTTAGACACCGAGTTGGAGACATTGAAGCAGCTTTTAGAGGCATGCAGTAGCATTGGCTGACAAACAAGTCATGAAGATTAACAAAGCCTGGGATTAACAGTTTACAAGTTGTTATATGAAGTTTTTGCTACTTGCAGATTAGAGCGAAGTAATGCATATATACCACCACCACCAACAGCCACCAATGCTTCATTGAGTATTTGATGGGGGTGCATATGGGGGTCACTCCCTGGTTACCTAATATTTTTAAAGTATTCCAGAATACAGAGAGAGAGAGTTATGGAGAGTAGTCGATGGGTTCAACATGTTCTAACACTGGTTGAACACATCAGGATAAATACCCATTGATATTGACCATTGTTCTATCTAACACTAGCTGAACACATCAGGCTAAGTTCTCATTGGTATGGACAAATGCTCTATTTAACACTGGTTAAACACATCAAGATAAATAATCATTGGAACAGATCATTGTTCTTACACTGTCTTAACACGTTAGGCTAAGTACTCATTGGTATGGACAGTTGCTCTATTTAACACTGTCTTAACACATCAGACTAAGTTCTCATTGGTATGGACAGTTGCTCTATCTAACACTGGTTGAACACATCAGGCTAAGTACACATTGGTATTATGGACAGTTGCTCTATCTAACACTGGTGGAACACATCAGGCTAAGTACACATTGGTATGGACAGTTGCTCTATCTAACACTGGTTGAACACATCAGGCTAAGTACACATTGGTATGGACAGTTGTTCTATCTAACACTGGTTGAACACATCAGGCTAAGTTCTCATTGGCATGGACCATTGGTCAATCTAACACTGGCTGAACACACCAGGTTAAGTACACATTGGTATGGACAGTTGCTCTATCTAACACTGGTTGAACACATCAGGCTAAGTACACATTGGTATGGACAAATGTTCTATCTAACACCGGTTGAACAAATCAGGCTAAGTTCTTATTGGTATGGACAAATGTTCTGTCTAACACTGGTTGAACACATCAGGCTAAGTACACATTGGTATGGACAAATGTTCTGTCTAACACTGTCTTAACACATCAGACTAAGTTCTCATTGGTATGGACAAATGTTCTGTCTAACACTGTCTTAACACATCAGACTAAGTTCTCATTGGTATGGACAAATGTTCTGTCTAACACTGTCTTAACACATCAGACTAAGTTCTCATTGGTATGGACAAATGTTCTGTCTAACACTGTCTTAACACATCAGACTAAGTTCTCATTGGTATGGACAAATGTTCTGTCTAACACTGTCTTAACACATCAGGCTAAGTTCTCATTGGTATGGACAAATGTTCTGTCTAACACTGTCTGAACACATCAGACTAAGTACTGGCTGAACACATCAGGCTAAGTTCTCATTGGTATGGACAAATGTTCTGTCTAACACTGG